CCGGGAAAGGAAATTTCTTTCGTGAGGTCTAAAAATGATACAATTAAAAAAAAAAACCCTGGTAAGGAAAATGAAACGACTCACAGCTGATGCTGTCGATACCCTGTTCCAACCGAAATCCCATCGTCGTCCGACACAAAACTCAACCGGGAATACAGGAAGGGAAAATAAAAATAAAAGACCGTATTCACAATAGGAAAGAAGGAAAAAGGAGCAGGACTCTTGGATACTGAGTTTTGAGACAAACATGGCACGAGGGCGATAAAAATTGGCAGGTTTCCCCGAACAATACATTTCGGGGGGAAAATTGTGCTGGTGAGGAGACAAACCGGGGAAGGAGCACCGGGGGTCAACGTCCTTTTTTTTTGGTTTTAGTTTGCTGAAAGAAAAAAAAAATTTGGAGGGTAAAAAAATCCAGGGGGGGAAAGAAGATTTTTTTCCCGAATATCGCGAGTTGACTAGGGCAGAATGGGGAGGAAAAAGAAAATTTAAAAAAAATAAAAGCCTGCCTTGTTGATCTCAGGAATACTGACTGTGTGTATCTCTCTCTCACCACGCACACCACAATAAATACAAATCGAAGGATGTTTGCCGCGTCATCACACGTCGGCGCGGGAAGAAAGAAGGAAAAGAATTTTTTCAATTTTAAAATCGGGAGGGAAAAAAGCCCCAAGTTTTCCCAACTTGGTTTTGTACTTCTCTAAACGCCTACACGCACAGAAATCAAAGAAAAGGAGGAGGAATTTTTTATGTTGAAATTTTAGAGAGGCAGGATCACACACGAAAAAAAAGGCAAGGGAAAAACAAAAAGAAAATTGGCAAGACTCGAAGGCAGATTGGAAGTAAGGCGCGGGCAAGTTTTCACCTTCAATTATATCACACCACTTCCTCCAAGGCAAGATCGAAGAAAAAAATACTCCCGTTTGTGCCCTTATGGCTGGGGGAAGTCCATGAAAAAAAAGGTGGAAGGCACAGGATGGGAAAAGGCAAGAGCAAGGCATTTTTGGGCTCATATAACACACGAGTCGAAGACAAACAACAAAAAAAATATGGCAAATGGAACGAAGGCACGTCAGTTTCTGCAATATGGCAATCGGACACGGGACCTCCAGAGGCACTTTGAATTTTTTTTTCTTTTTGTGCACATCGAGAAGAAAGGAGGGAGACGAAGGCAAAAAATGGCACATGCAAAAAATTCCCTATTCTACAAAATATCGTATCACGGTATGTTTCTAGGGAGACGAAAAAAAAAAACTGAATTTCTGGATGAGAAGAGAAAAAAAAAAACGCTCAATGATCAGTGGAGTGTCGATACTTGTGAGCCGACATCTGCGAGAGTCCAAGAACCGCAAACCGGCATATCATGCAGTGGTAATGCGTCTGCCGCCGGTTGTGCTGGCACCCTGGGATGCCACACTCCTGCGACGGCGTGGACTTCGCGAACCCCGCCGCCGCGATGGAGTCCAGCTTCTGATGCTGCCTCCGGTGCGCCACCACCTTGTTCGTGTCCGAGCAGACGAAATCGCACTTGATGCAGTGGAAGTGCGACGCCTTGTTCGGGGCGCTGGACGCGGTCTGCCCCTGCTGCTGCTGATACGGGCAGCCCGGTCTGTGACATGGCATGTGGGCCCTATACTGCGCAAAGTCCCCGCCCATCAGCGTGTCCAGGCGCTCGTGCCGCGCGGTGTGCTGCACGAAGCGCGTCTTGTCGCAGAACGAGTAGCCGCAGTCGCTGCGCGTGCAGTGGAAGTGGGTCTGGTGCTCCCGGTAGCCGCAGTGCGTGTACCCGCAGTCCTCGTTGAACCTGGATCGTACATCGGTCATAATCGTTCGTTACGCTTTTCCAAAAACTTCCATCATTTTCGTTTGGGTAATATTTAATTAGATATGATATTTTTTACTCATATACTTTTGTTTTTTCACTATATTATATTGGTTTCACCATTAATTTCATCAGTTCGTTGCATGCATATATCATTCCCATACTTCTCCGCATCCTACGATTTATTGCCTGTTCGGTCTAGCATTTACATAAGCGAAACGAGCCGCATTCCTGGGCCCGCCCTGACCTACAAGAGACGATCTGGAACCCGACCCACCTGAATCGGACGTAGCCATCCGGCACGGGCTCGTCCTTGAGTAGTCGAAGTGAGGTGATGCGAGGCCGCCTCGGGTCTCCCGGTCCCGGCGAGTCCCCTGGCATGACCGGGGACGACCGCTTCCCCAGCAGGCTGCCTCCCCCGCTGCCCTCGCAGGAGGGCATGCCCGTCCCTCCTCCCCCTCCGCCCGGGCCCAACATCCCTGGCATGGCGTTTTGGAATGCTGGGTGAGAGAGAATGTACGCACCGAGAAATTAATTATTTCGTACGGACGACTAAAAATGAAACGGTACAACTTGATTAAATATTAATGATAAAAAATTACAATAACATTATCATAAATGATCATGTGATTCCTATTCCTATGTGGGTACGGTCTGAATGCATGTGGGTTAAACCTGCCGGGAATTATGCATTTATAAGCAAGAAAATGAAAGATGCACTTATGGTGTGCATTCATGAATAGCGGAACGAGGCGACATGACTGATCGCTTGCCTCAAAAAATGTTTCTGTCAGAACCCACGAACAATCGATATCCATTATCCATTCGATACCCATCATCAAGAGAATCGATATCCGTTATCGAGAGAATCGATACCCATTAAGGGATAACGACACCAGACGAGGAGTCTGCGCGGACTTTCCGCTCGAAAACGACGTCCGACGTCCGACGACTCCGTTTTCACCGCGAACGGCCGAAGAAGCGAAGACGCGGATTCTCACCTGAGAGCTGAGCCATGAAGAAGGCGGGGCCGTAGGGGAAGAACTGCGAAGGATTCGGATGGCGAGATCCGGGCGGGAGGAACGCCCCGGCGGCGGCGGCTGCCGCGGCCGCGGCCGCGTACGGGCTGAACATCCCGGACGCTGCGGCGGACGATACCGAACTCAGGGACCCGTAGAGGAGATCCCCGGATTCTGGACGAAAGGAGAATCCAAAATTTCCTAACGAGATTTAATTACACGCGTACCACAGGACAGTTTAGCGTAATTATCGTACGGGAGATTACAGTCCGTGCAAAAATGTGGAATTCGTGATAAAAGCCATGTTTCGAGGCGAAACTTCACCAAGAGCTACCACAGTCGGTATCCGATCCTGGTGTTGACGTGTTAAGTTTCGGCTCAACCCAAGCGATATTTTTCGATCCATCTTCCAGCAACAAAAGGCATACCTTAATAATGATATTGTAATAATTATTCTTATTCTTATTCTCATTACGGTAAGCCTGCTAACAATAGCAGGACGATGCACCGACTACAATCCCACGTAGGGAAGTTCCTCGATCGAAACGCAGAGAACCGCTCCACTTCTGAGACTCGAGAAGCTCCCCCACCTCCCTCCCTCACCCTCCTCGTTTCAGCTCAAATACTTACCTTCCCGTTTCCCGTTGGTGAGGATGGAACCGGTGTTGGACTCGGCGGCAGGGCTTTCCGAAGCGGACGAGGAAGCAGCATTCGTCCCCAGGAATCCAGATCCCCCGAGCAGATGCTTCTGGATGTGAGGCTGCAGCCGATCCGCCTCCGAGAACGCCTGCAACACACCACATCCCCGTGACGATCCGCGTTCCCGCGACCTCCTTCCCCTCGCGACCTCCCTCCCTCCCCGCGACCTCCCTCCCTCCCCGCAACCTCCCTCCACCCACCTGATTGCATATGTTGCAGTGAAAGTGCTCCCTCTTCTTGAGCTTGCAAAACGGCCTCCCGCACGCATTGTCGGGCGAGTACTGCGGGTGCGCGAGGAGCGAGTGCTGCGGGACGCTCACGCCCCCCACCGGCAGCCCCGGTTGGCTCAGCAGCCCCGACAGCCCCGTCGATCCCGAGCTCGACGGGTATACCCCGGACAAACGGGGGATGGTCGTCGCGGCCGAACCGTCTTCTCGCTTCCTCTCGTCTGTTTCCGAGGAGAAAAAAAGTACGTCTCGTAAACCTCGATGTCGACCTCTGAAAAGGGTTTGCCTAATTATTTAAATTTCGATTTCAAATCGCAGGGTGTCTCAAAAGTCACTGAGAAGTAGTTCACTGTTTTGAATGCGCCAGGTGTACAGTGGCTTTTGGGACACCCTGTAAAAGTCTACGTGTCTTATAAATTTGGGTCGACTTTTAGTTTCTGTACAGGTACGATGGAAATCGAAATCCAGCCACCGCTTTCTGCAATTTCTGTCTTTTTGGCGGGTTCCTCGAATTTTGAAACTTTCTGAAGATACGATCGGTTTACCTGGGTGATCCTCGTCGTTGCTGTCGCCGGGCCTGGCCTCGGAGTCGCTGGACCCGTCGCCCTCGTCCTGGCTCTTCTCCCTCTCCTTGTCCTTCGCTTTGTCCTTGTCCTTGTCCTTGTTCTTGTCCTTGTCGGACGGGGACCCTCTCGGTCGCGATTGCGGGAAGGCAGACAGCGGATAGAAAGTCCCCGCCGCCTTCACCACTAAGGAATAACCGGGTTTCAAAGGCGGGGTGAGATTGGGCTCGCTAAGCTGCTCTTAGATGCTATTACGGCGTCAGCTGTTTGACAAGTCACAATAATTTGCGGGAATTTTTTTTGCATAAACAGGTTCCGTTCTCGAGGTAGTCTGCGCGTCAAATTCGACTGCCATTATTGTGATTCTTTTTCTGATTTCGTCGAACAGGCCCAGAGTCGAGTCAACACACAACTAACGCAGGACCGATATCGGCTTCTTCCTTTCCTGGCCGACAAAAAAAAAATCCTCAGAAAGAAAAAGCACCGGAACACTCACCACCTTGTTTCTCCTTCGTGAGCGAAAGGGGCGCCTGCGGCGGACTGGGAGCCGGACTGCTCGTCTCCTTCTCCCCCTGCTGCACATCCACCTTGAGCGGCTCCCGGTGCCGCTCCGCGTGCGAGGTCATCCCCGAGGGCGTCTCGCAGCTGTGTCCACACCCGGGCTCCAGGCAGTGGAAGTGACCCCGCGAGCCGTTGCTGTGGGGAGATCGAATGCGTCCGTTGAAACGACTTCGATTTATCGACTTCTGGAAGTGCTTTTTTTTTCCGCGAGAGGCGAGCGTTTTGATGCATCGATACTGTCGCAATGTGGGAGACGTGCGCCAGATGGATGATCTTTAGAGAATGTTTGTACGAGCGCCCGCTTCACTCGGCTCATTTCACTTCAATGGAATCGCATGAATAAATCAAATTAAACTGAATTGGTCATGTTGCAAATTATTCATCTCTTTTTTTTTTACGTTCGGGATGAAAGGGCTGAAAGAGACAGACCTGGGGCAAGTGGGATGTCGACAATCCAGCGAATGATGAAAATAGATGAACCCATCGAGAATCTCGACCTTAGCATGGAACTCCTTGGAATGCACCTCCGCCTCCCCGTCGTCCTCGAGGACCGTGAAGCACCGCGGCTGCGCGCAGTGATAATGCGACGCCCTGGACCGACTCTGGTGGGGGTAGAGCGGACAGTCCCCCCCGCCCCCCACCACGTAGAAGCCGTCCTTCACCTCCAGCTTCGACGGGGGGAGGAGGGGCAGGCTGAGGGGGGAGGAGGGGGAGGCCTTGGGGAGTTTGAAGCTGGTGAAGATGGCTTGCGGAGCGTCGGTGCTCGACGATACGGAGGGAACCTAAGACAATAACAGTGCGATTATTTTATCGGTCCGAAATTGGCTTCCGGATTTACTTTTCCCCCGGTATACATTGTGATGCGGCATCCATATTTCCTTATTTGTTGGACTCACGGACTTCGTCTGATGAGTAAATGCTCGACTCATTTTAGCCAAGAGGCTGGAAAACATTACTTCTTATTTGCAAGAAAAAGTACTTTCATACATTAGAAGACCAGAGTTAGTTCATTTTGAATCATAATGCCCACTTCATCATACCTCATGCATACTTCATACATAATGCATCACCGTGAATTTATGATATTATATATGAATATAAATTGACAGAATTTTTTAGTTGGTTCTGATGCAAAATCGCGAGAAAAAAAAAATGTCAGCAAAGCATGACGGATTCGACCGGGAACAGAATCAAAGAAATCTATGCCAACGCACCTCGATCACCCGGTTCTTGGGTGGCCTCCCGCGTTTCCGGCGGAAGAATCCATCGAGGGCGTTGCCCGAAGAACCGAGGTCCTTCGAGGACCCGTGCATGTTCATCTTGCAGGAATACTCGTGCATCTTGAAGTGGTCCAGGCGTCGGAACGGCTTGTCCATCGGGAACATCACCTCCTTGCAACCCTCCTGTCGACACACCCACCCCCAACGATACGCCGTCAGTCGGTGAAGATAACCAATCGGGACGCGCCGCGTCACGTGACGTCGAGAGAGGAAACCCAATCAGGACACGCCACGCCACGAGGATGTCACCAATCGTGCCAGCCGTGCCATGATGATACGACTTATGAGGTGGCGCGTTCTCATTGGAATTCCTCAGCACGTAAGAATACTGAGTCCAATTTAACATTTTTTAAATGTACTTCATCCTGTTGTACCGTGGTGAAAATCGAAACATAAAGAGCAATAAATGAAGGAAAGAAGAGGAAACTGACCCATCGACAGTGATAGTGCAGCTGGGATGGGCCGTGAGGGCAATGCGAGGGACACGGAGGAAGGCTGGGCCCCCCGACGGTGTAAGAGGTGGCGGTGACCACCTCCTGCAGGTGGTGATTCCGGGCGTGATCCCGGACCCCGTCGATGGAGCAGAAGACGGTGAAGCAGCCGGGGACCTGGCAGTGGAAATGCTCGTTCACGCACGCCAGCTCGCATTGCGGCACGCACGGGTCCGACGGCGTGAACCGATGCAGGTACCTCCGCCATAAGTCTCCTTCTCCCACGCCGAATTCTGCCGACACCACTACACAAGTCACCAATTTATTATTTGTGTGTGTGTGCATGCTTTTAAATAAAATATCATCGTATCCTTTCGTTTTCTCGCGCTTATCAGAGCCAACCCCACGCGTAGATACTCTTTTAAAAATCTCATCGGATTATTCGCTTTTGGCTCTAATCAGGTTAACGAAATTTGACCCGTTTCCCACCTAAAGAAAAAATGGTTTCCGTGTGCCGCAGGCCTCAAAACGACATTGGGCTCAACGATTGGGTCCCAGGGGTCGAACCACTCGGATGAACCACCGCCTAATCTCCCTTCCCGGCTGCGTTGACACCCCCTTGACATCCCCGTGACATCCCTTCCCTCTGGGACGGTGGAGAGAGTGAGTCGAGACACTGGTGGCAGGTTGCCACTTCTTGTCTGTTTTCTGCGGTTTATCTCGGTCGAACAATTAGGCTCATCGCCTTCGTAAAGGATGCGAATGACAGGTTACAACACATCACGAATACTTGAGAGTTTCGGACCGAACGTGGAACTCGAATGCAGTTCCTCGACGACAGCACGCAACAGCACCCATTTCCACAGACAAAACCCCACGGAACCGATCCGAAGCGGCACAGATCGCGTTTCGAGACGGAATCTCGACGGCGGCGCCTCGGACCCCCTTTCCCAACGGACGGAAGGGATCGTTCCTCGAGTCGTAGGCGTTACCGCGGGAAACGGCCGCGCGAGAATCCGTCCGCGAGACGATCGGCTCGAAAAGGCGATGCCTCGTTCCTCTCGCTCGCTTTCTCTCGGACACGAAGAACATCCTTTTCCGTTCGGTCTATTTTAAAACGATTTTACTTTCGAACTTCCGTTTCTCGGACTCGACACGAAACTTCACGGACGAAAGCGACGGAGGAAAAACTGAAAAAGAAACACGAAAAAGGGAAACGGAGAAAGAAACGGACCGGGCGGGAGGAGATGCGTGTTGGGGATGGAAGCATCCGCGCTTCCGTTCGAGGCCCCGGCGTCCAGGGCCAGGGGCAGGACGAGGGGGAGGGGAGACGTCGAGGGGCTGCCTCCGCCGTCCGATGATCCTCCCTGCAACGGGGAGAGAGCGATTCCTTCACGGTTCGTTTGGAGTTCGATGGCGACGGAAGGGAAATGAGAATTCGAGTGAATCGGGGATTCGAAACGCGAGCATCGATCGAGAGATGCCACTAAGCATCGTTTTGCTGAATCTCATAGAACTGTGAATTTCGATATGAAATTCATTAATTGCTTAGGATGGGTGACGAGTTTTTCCAGTATATGAACTTGCAGTGAGTCAAAAGGAACTGCAAACAAAATTTGGTGAAAATTGTCATAACTCATGAAGCGTTCGAAATTTCCAAAGCCGAAAAAGCGGGCACTTCTCCATCGCCGGATGCGAACGGGAGACTCGGCGCACGTACGTGAGAGGTGGACGGCGGGAACTCGGACGAGTTGGAGTCCGTGTTCCGCTGGAGCAGCTGCTCGCTGAGCCGGTGCTTCCGGAACGCCGACTCCGAGTCCTGCCGCTCGTGCTTCCGCTTGTGCGAGTAGAGCTGGCCGGAGCTGTGCAGGACGTAGAGGCAGCCCGGCCGGATGCAGTGGATGTGGTTGGCGGCGCGGGAGAAGCGGCAGTTCTCGAACCCGCACTCCTCCGACTTCATGAACTTCTTGAAGCCGTCCCGGCTCAGCTGCTCGTCTCGGATGTGGTAGGTCTTGTGTTTCTCTGCAGGACGACCCCAAACTTAATAGAGTTGGAAAATATCAATGTAAAGTAAATGCAAAAAATGGCATGCCGCTCGAAGACCGATTGGAAATTCCAGAAAGGCTTCGAGTTCTCATCTACTCGAAACCATTTCAGATTAATCTTTTTGCCAGAAAATTTGGAAGAATTTCCGCCGGCGACACTTTTTGGGCAAAAATTCTCTCTGGGCGACTCTTTTTCGAAATCGATCGCATTTCCTGGAAGATTTCTACTTTCATCACACGGACCACAACCATCGAGGACCCTAACCGGCTTCAAATAGCAATATTATCCACCCGCCCGCGTCCGAAACGCCATCTTCCCGGACGAGTGAAAAAGAAAAAGCGACAAGAACGGCAGTCGACAGATGAGGCATGTCGGTCCGGGGTCGTCGATCCTGGACTGGCGAAATCCCCCCGAGAATCGACTGTGACGCAAGAGGACCCAACATGGTGAGGATTAACTCTGGATTACGCGTGGGCGTGAATTTAAGCCTCGGCCCATCGCAAGAATAACGAAGCTCGCCCACTCCCCGATCCCCTCCGCCGGGGTCGTCAGATTAAAGACGACCATTCGGGTCTGCGCCGTCGACCTCTCGGCTGCCATCCTCAAAGCCTCCAGTCGACCGCTCGGTCGTCATCCTCCGATCCTCCAGTCGACCGCTCGGTCGTCATCCTCAAAGCCTCCAGTCGACCGCTCGATTGCCATCCCCCCATGAACGCCGAGGCAGCTGCCTTCTTCCTTCGTAATCTTTCTGAATGAATGACCTCGGGGAATGACCTAGCTAACTGCATTCGCCCGTAGATGACTCGCATTTTTTTTTTATCGCGTAGCTATTACTTTTCGTGCTCTGACATTAATCGTCTTCATCGAATCGATCACCTGTAATACGTATTAATCACATTTGCCTCCGCGCTCGAATCGCAGAATCGACTTTCTGCTCGTAAAAAAAACCTTTGGAAGTCCTTTCACTTTTAGTCCGACCTTTCGATCGTTCCCATTTTCTGAAAGATGCCACGACTCACCCATATCGGCCTTGTTCTTGAAGGTGTACTTGCACCCGGACCGCCTGCAGTGAAAGTGCGTGGTCCGCTGCCCGTTGAAGGCGCAGTGCTCCGTCTTGCAGTCCTCGGTCGCCCTGTACCGCTGGAATCCCTCCTGGATGATGGCCGAGTCCTTCCTGTGGTAGTTGGCGTGCATCTGCACGTCCGACGTGCTGATGTACACCTTGTCGCACCCCTCCTTCAGGCAGTGGTAGTGCGTCTGCTTCCGGTTGTGCGAGCAGTTCGAGAAGCGGTCCGTGCAGTCGTCGCCGGGGGAATAGCGGAGGAAGCCGTGCTGGAGGGAGTCGTCCCGCTTCTTGTGCCATTTGAAGTGGCGGATCATCTCCTCTTTCTTCACGAACACGCGGGAGTTGCAGTCCAGGCAATGGAAGTGCTCCCTGAGGATCGGGAAGATCGAAGGAAATTCAATACGAGGAACGCGACCTTCGACGATTTTTCTTTTACGGATAAATTACAGCCCATAAAACCAATTTAAAGTACCCAACCATCATAAGTATCACCGTGAGTCTTTCGGGCCCGAGGAGACAAACACGAATAAAACATCGATGGGCGAACTGCCACCAGGGAAGAAAAGAGACAAAACCGCCAATAAAGAGATTTTGCTCCTCCAAATTCCGCGGAAAACTTGCGACCCGCAAGCCTTCCCCGAATTTCGCGAATTTCGTGAATTTCGTCGACGTCACGAAATCCAGTCCCGTTACGAAATCGTTCAGAGCCGAGCGGAACGGGCGGGTATGCGGCGGTATAATGGGCGACACGCACCAGTTACATGCCGATTCAATGCAGTCTTTCTCTCGATGGAATGGGAATAATGGGGATGATATGGGAATAACGCCGACTCCGTTAAATGGATCGGACCATTACAAGCCGATTCGAGCCGAATGGATGCGGTGCGGATCGCCCGACACCCTCACAGATAGAATCATCTCCATCACGGGGGGAAAATTCAACTATTACGATCGCGAATAATATATTTGAATTTAAGCGTTTAATTTCTTTCGACTCCAACCGCACATTCCCCATCTAAAAGAATTTTTTTTCGCTTTCTCGCAGGACATCAGCGCCTCCAGGTTTGCGACGCACATTCTATTCCCTTTTTATCCATTTCGGTTACGGGATCGGTCGCACCCCACAGAGACATCTACCGGAGGGAGTGCGAAAGCCGCCCCTTCCGCTCCCGCCACCAGATGGGGCACGCGCACCGCGACCGAAAGAAAAGGTGCAAATTTACCTGTAGTTGAGGTCCCGGCAGTAGGAGGAGCCGCACTCGGTGGCGTTCGAGAACCGTCGCACGTATCGGGTGTAGTCGATCGGGGCGTTCTTGGTCTTTCCCGTTCCCGTTCCCGTTCCCGTTCCCGTTCCTCCCACCGAGCTCCCGAGCCCCCTCGCGCCAGGTTTTAATATCACTGGAAGAGAATAAAAAAAATAATAAAACGTCGATGTTCGCTGCGACGATAAAAGCACAACAGGCGAGGCGTAAGAATACGAATGAGATTGGTTATTATCTCATATGGCGATAAAATAATAATAATATTAATAATAGATATAAGTAAAGAAAATAAAGGTACGAGAGCCGACGACAATGGCGATCGATGTATTCATGAATACAAAATGAGGATGAGCGACGGGGACTAAATGCGAGGTTCAAATTCGAGGTCTAAATCCGAAGTTTAAATTCGAGGTCCAAATTCGAGGCCTAAAGGGTGATTCAACGGTCCATCGCACACCTGGGCGTTTTCAAAAAGGGGGGAATTGCAAAGAGACAGAACGGCAAAAAAGGAGGACCAGTTGAGTTTCATGATAAAGGAGGAGGGGGGGAAGAAGGGGGGGGGGAGGGGGGAGGGGGGGGGTTCATGAGACTCATGTTTAATGCATTTGCCCATCTGCAGATGAGACTCCCGCGTTTTCATCCCAGAAAAGGGTTTAAACAGCAGCTGCACCGGTCTTTTTTTTTCCATTTTTTTTTTGTCCCGTTCCGACCAATGGCGATGGCATCGCGATCGCACATCTCATTACGGGATCCGTCTCTCTCTCTGTTTCCATTCTTCTCCTCCCCGTTTTGCATGAAATGAGTCTGCGGGGCCCGGGGTCGCGCGTTTCCCCCTTTTTCCCCGACGCGGCCGTTGATGTCTTTATGCGCGCGGGCGCTTTTCCGGTCCCTGGCCCCTGAGTGACGGGTGGGCGTTCGAGGACGTCGTGCCGAATAATTTTGCAGATTTGCGACGCGCTTCTACTCGTAGCAGGAATCGTCTGTCGCATAATTCACATCATTTAAGCAAATTTTCCATACGTCATAAATATCATAAATATAAACGGCCATAAATTTAATATACGATTATCGCAAACATTCGACGTTTCGCCTCGCAATTTCGTCGTCACGCGCTCGTCAGTTTGTTTGTTCTCGTCGGCATGGCCTTCGCACCTGCAAGCAATCGAATCGCATCGCGAGCGCCAAATGAACCAGGGACGAAAACAAAAACTGGCTCGACCGCACCTGTGAGAAAGGGAACGAAAAATGGAAAAGTCACGAATTTATCCAATTTATCCACCCCTTTTTTTTTTTTCCTCCTAAATGGGGGGGTTGGGTCCATGGAAAATGCGGCACTTGGACGCATTTAGCACGTCCAATAAATTCCGAGTTTCAGAGGAAAAAAAAAAAAAAGGGTTTCGCCCCGCCTCTCCCTTTTCTGCTTTCCCCCTTTTTTTGTTGATATTGATACCCCGGAGATTTGTTTGGAATTCCCTTTTACTGGAAAAAAAAGATCACCTGCTGTGGGGATCGGTTTCCCCTGAATTTTCTCTCTTTTTTCCACCCAAAACATGGCGACAAGTGAGTTTTTGTCGAGAACCCATTACATGGGTGACAGGTGGATTTCCCCCATTCATTCTTTCCCCCGATCGAGGAATCCGGGAATTCCCCCTTCCACGGTTTTGCATATCCGGGAAAAAAATGTTTTTCAGTTTTTGAATACTTGCATAATAATATGTTTAAAACATGAAAATAAAATGTTATTCATGCGGACGCCCAAGTCAGCCGCGAAAGCGTCCCGAAGACGAAACCAAACATTTCGCAACGGGTGATTAGTTTCCGACCGATACATTTTCCCCCAGACCCGAACTTTTAATACTCGGAACGGCGCCCACGAAAACTCAGACGAAACTCATTCCTGCAGAGGTAAACCGGAGGGAAACCGGAGGGAAACCGGAGGGAAACCGGAGGGAAACCGGAGGGAAACCGGAGGGAAACCGGAGGGAAACCAGAGGGGAACCGGCGCAGCGGAGGGATGACCCCTCCGCCCCGTGCCCCACAGGAAAACAATGGAGGGAAGAAGCAGAAGCTGGGAAGTGGGACTATATCATCCTTTTTTTTTTCCTTTCTCGGTTCCCAGTTGACTTCGATTTATCTTTGTCGGGTTCCTTCCAACCGTTCCCGGTGCTATACCTCTCCTCGTTCTTTTTTCTTCCGTCTTCTTCATCTTCATCCCTTCCTCCCTGTCATTAGGGTTAGGACCTTCTCCTCCATTGTCCTGTCACCAGGCCCTACCCACTTCCCTGGGATTCTCCATCTTTCACCCCATCTTTCATCTCGACCTCAACACTTTCGACTCATCTGCTTCGTGGAATGCACTCCCATTCCGTTAAGTAATTCACCATCTCCTTACCCACCCTTTCATTAGAAAGGTAACGCTGGCGGCTGTGGCATCAGCTCCTCATCAGGTTTTTTTCATTTAATCAACATTGCATAGTTAATTTTTTTTCATGCTCTCCTGGCTCTTCCCAAATTCAAATTTATTTTTTTTGCCCCAACAATTGGAAAGAAATATGAATCTTAAATCTCTTTGCTAGCGCTTATGATATTCTCTTAATAGGATATGAATAATTTCATAGAAGTACTTAATTAGTTTAACTATAATGAAGACCTAACAAGCATTCGAATAAGCCTATTACATTTTCATTGACGCACGGCATGAAGGTCTCATTTTAATTGCATCGCAGATTCATCGCCTCGATTTGTCACGATGCTCGTACGTTGCCTTTCGCGATCCCCCGAACCATATTCCAGGAGAATCGCGAAATGAGGATGGACGCGAGGATGGACTCGAGGATGGACAAGGGCTTCATTCTCCCCGTGCTGGTTAATACTATTGGCCCCGGTCCAAAGGCAACCCGGTCGACCTTGCCAAAGCGCAGACAGTACTCCCTTCTTCCCTTCCTCTTTCCAAAGGGGGCACACGCATACATGCATTTATTAAGTACAAGGCGAAACTCGGTGGAGGGAAATTACATCGAAGGCCTTTAAGTTATTCATGTGCGCACGGTTTGATCCTGGGCTCCGATCATTTTTCATCCTGCGGGCATTGAAGAAGAGAAAAAAAAAAAGGAGTAAGGTGTCCTTGGGAAATCCATGCTGAATACCTCATTAGACGAGAAAGATGAAATATCTTCTTCGAGAATCCATATTATCTCCCTCTCTCCCATCCCCGAGAATACAACATCTATGAATTTATTATTTTGCCTGGAAGGGTCTTATAGGGGAGGGGGTCTCTTTTTAACCCTTTCTCTTCCCTCTATCTTCTTTTTTTTTTTTTCTTCCTCTCTCGTGTACCTTCAAGCGCTGTTTCTTTGTTTTCTTTCACAAATTATACATTGCATCTCCAGCCGCGCCGGAGTCCTTGAAACGACAGAAATCTCATCTCGGGGGGGGTTTCTTTCTTTTCTTCGGGTTTCTTTCTTCGGCTGCGCGACTCCGCTCATCCGGAACCGCGTCTTCGGACGGAGAGATCATCTGATAAAAAGGGTGCAACGATCTTTCCAGTCGATACGCGGGGGAATAAATGCCTTTTTCCGGGCGATACCAGATGTCTCTCGGACTTGCAAGAAAAAATCATTTTTAAAAAATTAGAAAAATCTAAAATTACGATCTAAAAAGTCGCACTTAAAACAGTTGTTATTATTAAAAAAAAAAAAGCTCATCCTTCTCGTCACGTCACTAGGGCTGACATACTCGAATGATTTCACCGTTTCATAGGGCAGAATTTTCGTCTGAAATTTTTGGATTGGGGAAATCTTGTTGCCTGCTGAACACATTTCGCAATAGAACAGAAGTGAAACATGATCTGCATTCCACCCTTTTCGCGGATTCCCTCGGGGACGAGGAGGATGTATGGGGTAAATCGGTAGCTGAAGGCGGGGGGAAGGCGGGGGAAGGCGGGGGAAGGCGGAATGGCAGTCCTTGGATGGCCAGTGTCCGATTTCAGTCTCGTCAGCATGTTGCACGTGCGAGACGCTTATGTCCACTCGCCCAAGTGCTTTTTTTTTTTTAAATAGCCTAAACATCGAGCGTGAAGCAGATGCGAGCCTCGACGGTTGCCAAGCCGTTGCAGATCTCGATTCGTAATTTCCAAAGGGCGAAAGGACGAAATTACGATGTTAGCCCTTCACTGCCATAAAAGTTGCGGAGTGCCAATTTTAGCCAGTTATCATCGATCGTTCCATTACGGGATGATTTTATGCGACTCGGCTATTTGAGAGGATGGGCCGACTCAGACACGTCATTTAGTAACAGTATATGTCGACTCATAATACTCATTTGCCGTTTTAAAAAAGCGAAATGCAGCGAAATCATGCCTGATGCCCGTGACATGACTGTTCCATTCCGCGATGCATTTGCAGATCCGCGTATCTGCATGCAAATCGCAAGGAGCCGGACGACTGGACTCGGATTCCAGATTCGAAAGCCTCGCAATGCTTGAGTGGATCAAGGGCTTAAAAGAAAAGAAAAAAAAAGGAGGAAAAGGTATGCCTAAAAGGGGAAAGGAGAGAGACTAGAGAAAGGGTTGCATGCACGACATGAAATATCTGAGGAAAATGAAAAATAGAAGAGGCCGAGGTTATCAGAGTAACGAAGCCATAAGTCATCTTTTTTTCTTTTTTTCTTCTTTTTTTTTTCCTTTAACCCACTCTTACCCGCATGCTCTCTTCTTTTTTTTTTCATTTTCTCATTTGAAATGCCCCTCCCTCTTGAAATCCATTGAATCCCCTCCGGGTTGAAAAGAACCCCTTTAATTCCCTGAGTTTTAGTTCTCTCGGGATTGAATCGAAACGAAAAAAAGAAGGGGACTGTAGATGCCACTCGGGCTTGTCTCTTCCCTTTTCAATTCCTTGTTTTAATAATTCCCCTTTTCGGGGGGGGGGGGGGGCCCTTTTTGGGGGGCCCTTTTCAGGGAGGACATCTGCCCCTCCATGAAAAAAAAAGGGATAAAAAATTGCAAAGGGGAGAGAGAGAGAGGAACGTTTCAATTCCTGTTTGAACAGATCGCCTAATTATCCTCGGGAATCGACGAGGAGGGGAGAAAACCGGAAAGAAACGGAGGAAAACAAGGGGAAAAGCAACAAACAAGAAGAA